AAAAACAGGCAGCAAAGTGTGTTATTTGTGTAAAAGTATTAACAAAAACTATTTTTTTTTCCATTGTTAATCTTAAATTACCCACCGTTTGCCCAATTTCTGTCCCAAGCTTCATACTGTAAATTCATATAGAAATTTATTGGCAAACAACTTGAAATGACAAGAAATTGAATCTAATCAAAACAAAAGCTAACGAAAATTATCAAAATATATGCAAAAAAAATAATATATATATGTGCAATTGTTATTTCGCCTAGTTTGAAAATCAAATTAAAAGTTTACGCTTCGTTCACTACAAAAAAAATCTATAATAATAATACAAATAGAAAAGTTTATTAAATCTCTTGACTTAATGTACAAACAAATCAAAACTTTAAATATCTAAATGTTTATACATATGTATACACACATATACATATACATATACACACACACATATATATATATATATATTTCAATAAATCAAATCAAATGCTATAAATTGTAATAAGTATTAATTTGCCCGAGGCACATTTAGTGCTATGCAGATTCCAAGCTGTTTCCATTAAATGCACTCTCAATTGCAATTCAATTTTACAAGAGCCAAAGCCGAAACAAGCCGCTGCGATAAAATGTTGCCGTTGACATTGGCTAAGCGGCTTAATTTGAATGGAATTGGCCAATTGATTGAACGGATTTCGCTTAAAGATGCTAAATTGTGCATAAAATGCAATTTCAAACAAATATATAATCAAATATTTCAATCGAACAAAGTCGCTAGAATGCTGGAAACCAAGCTTTAGGTATGTATATCTAAATACCCTGTAAGTTTTATAGTTTATTGTATTCCCATATATATATATTAATTAAATATTTAAAGAGCAGCCAGGCCCAAAATATCTCACAAAATATATATTTTGGGTCTGGCTGTTCTCTAAATATTTTATTAAGCCTATTTTAATAGCCTTGTAGACATTTCTCGGGGTCGGTTCGAAAATCAAACATTTTTAATTATTTTTTTTTTTTGATATCTCGGCCAAATGATGTTGGATTTTGAAGTTTTTTTAACATTTTGGACTCGTAGGGATTAGTACTATCGATTGGCATCAAAATAATAATAAGGTAAATTTTGACTAAATCGACTAAAAAGCAAGGGGTTACATCACGTTTTTTATCAAAATCGGCCTGGGTTCGAAAATTAAAACTTTTTTGATGATTTTTTTTTGAATAACTCGGTTAAATAACGTCAAAATTTTAAATATTATACCTTTTTGAAATCGCACGGATCCCTACTATCAATTGGCATTCAAAGAAATTTAATGTCGATTGGTTGTTGTGAGTGAGTGTGAGTTATGGGCCCATAAGCGATTCATTAGTAAAGTCAACCTTTCTTGATGATTTTTTTGAATATCTCGGCCAAATAATATCAGATTTTGGAATTGTATACCATTTTGGACTCGTAGGGATCAGTACTATTGATTGGCATCAAAATAATAACATCATAAATTTTGACCCAAATCGACCAGAAAGCAAGGGGTTTTTCTCAAAATCAGCGTTAGTGCAAAAATCCAAACCTTTTAAATGATTGTTTTTTAATAACTCGGATAAATATCGTCTGACTTAAAAAAGTTATACTGTCTTAACGAAAGTGAAATAATTTTGTTTAATATAAAATTTTTCATAGAACTTTTTGAATTTTATTTTCTTATACTTGGCATTTTATTCATCATATTCATTTTACTCAATTGTCTTCCGCATTTTGTTGACATTGCATTCACTTTTTTTTATATAAAAAAAAAAAAAAAAACAACAAAGAACCCATGGAAAAAAAAAGAAAATAGCAATCCTCTATTTGCGGCTGCGCCAACATTCCATTTTCCCTGCGACGGTTAGTCAATCTGTGTGTTGGGTCTGCGGTTGCCACTGCGCTTCGATTTCAAAGCGCCAACAGCTTTGTTAGCCGTTCTAAACGGAGTCTAGTCATCTATCGTCTAGCGTATCTCTATGGCTACTAGCTTGGTTGGGTTGCGGGCTGGCCGCTAATCCCAGCCTCGTCGTGTATCTGATTTCAATGCTGAAATTGAATTGTGCGCGTTCGCTTGGCTTCCAGTTGGTTCTTGTTTCCCCCCCCCCCCCACTTTTGTTATTATTATTTTTGCTGTTTTTTATTATTATTTCTTTTCAAACGGAAATTGGAAATTTATTGAACAGTCGCGGTTTGACTTGTGATTGACATTTGGATTACTGAATTGCATATCTCCCAATGTCTTCTCATATTTCACGGTCGTACAGGCACTCAGCTCGGCGCATGTCACTCGCATGCCTCTGATAAACAAGCCAAAACATATATACTTTAAAATATGTTCAAAAAAAAAATTGTTTGAACATAACTTTGTCAAGTTCACCAAAGTCTGGCTGTTGCCTGTTTCTATTGCTTATTGGCAAAACAACTTGACACAATTTACATTTCTTCATAATTTATTTATACTTATATATATATATTTTTATTATTATTTTTTATATTTTTATTATTTAAATTATAATTAATAGTTTGATAATCGATATCGATGGTCGATAACTTAAAAACTTTGTTTTAGAGTATTTCAATCTTTATTTTGTATTATATTTATACTGTCACAATTTTTTAAAATTATGATAAGTATTATATTTTTAAGTATTTTATTTCGTAAAAAACTTCAGATTTTTTTAGTAGTTTATCTTCTAGGCATATAATTTTTTTTTTTAAATTGATTGCGTGATATTCTTTACGTTTCTAAAAACTTGCTGTCGCCTTTTTGCCCTGCTCGCATTTCCCATGTTCAGCATTTTTTTTTTTAAATTGTGCTTAAGGCATGGATACATGGGTATAAAGTGTCTTTGGCAATAACTGACAAATTTCTACATGCACTGACCTTTTGCTAAGAAATCATATGGTTGCATTTGCATAAAAATTTGTCGATTCCGTTGAAATGAATCGAGTCGCGTGGCTAAAAGATTGAGTTTGTTAGCTGAGCTTTGATTTTCGTATACCTGCAACGAAAAAATGCTGTTCTGTTGGCTTGAATTTAACATTTTGCTTAGTCCACGAATCGATACTGGGAACCCGGTGCTAATGACACGCTTTACTCAGATAGCCAACACGCTGAGCACGCAGAAGGTAATTTCTAAAAGTGCAGCTAGCACCAGAAATGCTTTAAGGGAAATGGGGTTCAAAAAACCCCAATCGCGTGATCTGTTGTTGTTGTTGGGCATAAAAATTGATGATAAATCAAACTTAGCTCGAATTAGTCAAAAGGTTGCGCCCCAACGCAAATGCAGCTTTACGTTCTAAAGCTGCAGCATGAAACTTGCATCAACAATGTATGCGGCACATCGAAGATCTAATACCCTTGCAGACATTTGTTGTATCGCTTGTAATTGTTGAGTTTGGTCGAGATGTCTTCAAAATGCCTTAATATAAATCAATCTAATTTATTTTTCTTGTCAATTACTTTATATAGAGCCGTATTCATTTATATGGTCCTGTATTATTTAGAATTGGTCAAATTTTCTTGGAGAATACAATGAACTTTCGTTCCTGAGGCAGCCATAGATATAGTGGACGATATAGATAGGACTGCAAGACAAGCTTATGCAAACTTTTCTGTCATAAGAATACGACATGCTGCAACTGATCAGGCAAGTATATACTTTATGTGGTTGTCATTGTATGCGTGACACAGCTCGTGAGAAAACTCTAATACCCTCTAGAAGGGTAGGGGCATAACAATGAATACGGCTTTGGCACGCGTCTGAGCAACCAAAAATCTAACCGGCTTTGGCTCTCACGAAACTAAACGTCGACTTTCAACGCAGTCTCCAACAACAACAACAACAACAACAACAGCTGCGTCAGACAACAGCCGCCGCCTGCCAACATTCCTGACATAATTTTGTGTGTGAGTAAGCAAACGAGTTCGGTTCCAAATTAGACGTCATCAACAGCAGCAGCAGCAGTAGCAGCGCAGCAGCAGCAGCAGCCGCGACCGCAGCAACAACTGCCGCTGGGCGACAAACAACAAAGTTGCAGGCGAGACAGCAGCAACAACAAAAACCAAATGCCTTCGGGCCCGCACATTAAATCTCCCGTAAAGCCAGACGCTTTGACAACGGGCTTTAAAAAAAAAAAAACGGTATATATATTAAATGGAATTTTTAATTCTTGAAAGCAACAGCAAAATATGCAAAAGGCCGCGAGAAGCAGCAGACTGAAAGAAATTTAAATTGAAATATATTTGTTGCGGGCACATAGCGGAAGCAACATGTTGCAAGCGCAGCCAGCAACATTGCCAATTTTAGCAACAACAACAACAAGTCGAGCAGCAGCAGTCGCTTTATAGCCGGCTTAAGTTTGCGAGAGCTTAGCTTGAAGAGTTCGCTTCGAACTTGTCGACAATCACGATCGCTGTCACCATAATATCGAAGCTTACATACCCTTTAAACAAATCAAACCATTTATTAGTTTAACAAAATGGAAATAATTTTCTTGGCTTGAATGTATTTGCGGTAAGTTTTTCTTTTTATACTTTAATGTTTTATTTAATATTTTAATTATTATATTCTTTTTACCAACAATGAACATCTGATATAAATTACGTTTTTCCAAATTGCATTCAAGCCACAAGCATTGCAGTAAAATGCGAATGCTCTCTTTCAATCTCTCTCACACACTCTCTGCAGTTGATGGCGTCGCAGCCGGCTCAAGCTAACATTGCGACTTGAACTTGCGCTCGATCCAAAGTCGCGCTCTTTGAGTGTTTGTGCATGTATGCGTGTGTGGATGAGAGAGCGCGCTTATTTAGTCTGTGTAACTGAGTGGTGTCTGTTTTAGTTACCGACAGCAACAACAACAACACACACACACACACACACACACACGAGCGCCAGAAGTCGACGTCGCTGCGACAACGTTGTGTACGGTTGATTTTATTTAAGTTTGTTGTTGTTGTTGCTGTTTTCAGTTTGGCTGCGCGGCTCGCGTCGTTTATTTTAGTTAGTAACGAGATTTCGAGCGCACAACGTTGGCGGCGCGGTTGAAAAATCAAAATCAAAATCAAAAGCTTAGCCACAGTGCGTACTCGCTAAGTTAATAAATGTGTGTGTTTGTTTGCGTGTGCTAAAGTGTTGGAGCGCGTTGTGCAGACATGAAGTGAATAAGAAATTGGAAAAGCACTAATAAATATAAAAAAAAAACACACACACACACAAAACACAAAGGAAAACGCAAAGAAACGTGTTGAAGCCAATGAGCAAACCAGCGACCAGCAACAACAACAGCAGCAACAACAACAACAGCAGCAACAACAGCAACAACAACAACAACAACAACTAAGTACGTTAATCAGAAAATATTTTAGCCCATTGCGCGCCACATACGAAAAAGCGCGAAATATTTTGTTGGCCCCACTCCCCCATAGATGAGTGTCTGTGTATGTGTGTGTGTGTGTATGTTGTGTCTGTGTGTGTTAGTAGCAACAAACAGCACGACAGTTATTATGCATTGCAACAGCAACAACAACAACAACAACAGCAAACAGCAGCAACAAAACTAATGCAGAGTTGTCTTTTGTTGATTTCGGTTGCCAAGAGTGAAATTATTGAACAATAATTTAAAGGGGTGTGGGGGGGGGAGGGGGTGCTGTACCGGGGCAGGTCTGCTATAAAACTATGCACATATTTAAATATATGATTTAATTGGGACAATTTGTGCAAATAATAAATAATACAAATAAAACTGAACAAAAATTGGCTTTAGAACAATTTTGAATATGTGAGCTATTTTTTTAAGATAAGTTCATGTGTTTCAAATATATTTAGAACGCCGCTTCGGAGTTTTTTTTTTTTGCAATTTTAGCAAGTTTTTTGTGAACAAAATAGAAGATAATAGAAATAGAATATTTGGAATTATAAAGGCAATCAATGTCTTAAATAATTCTTAATTTTATTTTTCTGAAATTAAGATTAAAATTATTTTGAAACATTTTTATCTTTGGTATATTTAACCAGAAAGGTCTCCCCCCCCCCAAAAAAGAAAATATAAATCGATGCATCTGGAAATTTCTTATTAATTTCGTTATAATTTCCAGAATAGGCAGCTTTCAAAACATTGCAAAATTTACCGATACTTCTCATAATTTTAAATTCGACTAACTTCATTCTTTTGTTATTTGTTGAATCGAGGGATTCCGATGGATTTTGTAGGAATTAGCAACTTTTGTTAAATTCAGTAGGATCAAAGGAGTTGGATTTTAAAAGCAAGAAATTCTGGGAGTACCATTAGTGCAAGCAAATGGACTGTGGGAATACCTTTAATGTAATTCAATTTGAATTGAAGATATTTACAATTTTTTGTTATTTGCAACATTTTCAAATTGATTGAAAAGTAACTCCATTGAAATAATATAAAATACTGCGTAGAACAAGTGCAAAATCACTTGCACTAAATTTAAATGCAGCATTTAATGTGAAATTGAAAAATATCACAGCTCTTGAGTTTTTAACATGAAAGTAATAATACAATAATTGATAAATGAAAATTCGATGAACCCATCAATTACACATATACTACAGATAGATATATACATATATATATATATTTGATGGATATATGCATTATAAGTCTCACTTGAAAATGAAGATTCTATGAAATTATTAAGTAAATTTCAAATAAATCGAGGGGCTGCCATCTAATGGCAACTGTCAGCGCGAGTGTTTGAGATATATTAAAAATTGATGAGATTTATTTTTGTGCACCCAACACATGTGTGTGTGTGTGTGTGTGTGTGTGTGTGTGTGTACAGCAGCCGAGACCTTACAAGGTTCATTGCTACTTGTCACAAAAGTCTATTGGTTTTTTGTTGTTGTGCCATGTAGGCCGCTTGTATAGATAATAAAACTTTGAGCTTAATGGCATTGTTGCCAGCTACAACTGCAACAACAACAACAAAACAACAACAACAACAACAATTTCATGCCAAATTGACACACGAAGCCGCCAACGCCGCGCGTGTCACCGTCGCTGTCTCCGCCTTTTAGCCATGGCTTGTGGACAGTTTTTTTTTTTTTTTGGCCCGCTTGTGTCTGATAACAGGCGTGTTAATTTCAATTTGTATTTGTGTGCAATACCGAATGCTATTGAAATATTTGTATACCCTGTAAGCAATTAAAGTACGTTGAAAGGGTCGCATTGACAGGCAGCTGAAGATGTTCTGCAGCTTAGGAGTTAGCCTAGCTATATCAGAGATCCTCTCGATATCGGGACTAAACAATATATAAACTGGCGTAAATATATTTATCGATTATTTCCGAATCGATAGCTTTTGAGTTTTTAGCTCAACTTTGTTTGGAATATATCTAAGGAATTTACTGCATATATAGAGATTGTTTAAGATTTTATATATCCCTCTTTTTGTGTAGCTATTTAAGAGTTATGTTTTCCTGTTAAAGGGTATTTGCTAGTCGGGCACTCTCGCTTCGAGCACTCCTTCTTTGCCCATTTTCTTTGCTTTGTTTGACCAGAGAAATGTGTTAAAATCGGATACGCTTTAAAGCTTCTCTTATTGCTCAATTTTTTAATAGATTCTGAGTTTGCGAAATATGAAATATTATGAAATATCGCACCTTTTTATTGACTCGCAATTCGGTCAGCTGGTTTATTTTTTTTTATCTTTATTGTTGTTGTTTTCAATGTGAATTATTAACTCTTGTGCGCTAATGTTTAAGTTCAAGGTTAAAGGATGGCCGTTTAGATAATTCGCAGTACGAAAAGTCTTTTGTAGAACGTTGGACAACAATGTATATGGCGCTTTATAATTATTTCTGTTACGTGAGATAAGGCGAAATGCTTGACCAGTTGCGGGTTTCTTTTTATTTAATGCGATACTTTAACATATTTAAATATCTTTCACGTGTTCCCAATGAGCAGCACAGAAAGAGACGCTCGTCGCGATAGCGCAAAGTGGGAGAGCGTGCGATATGGTATTTTATATGGGGCAGATATAACTAGGGGGAAAGAATGGAGAAGTTGCTAGGGCGAGCTTACGGGCGTGGTCTTACTCGAGTTGACCTAATGCAGAGTTGAGAAGAGAAAAATGTTAAGATTTGGTGAAAAAATGTAAATATTTGATTTAAAAATACTTATTAAAAAAATTAAAAGACAAAGAAAAGAAAAAACATAAGTTACGTTAAGTTTGTACAAATGTTTATTAAATCACATGCAACAAAAAAAAGTCATACAAACGCTTAAAAATTCCATTTCAATTGAACAATACGAAAGAATTTAAATGAAGCATAATTAAATCCAAGTTTGAAGCAAAACTGATAAAACAAAGTTTTCTTTTCGATTGAGAATAAAATCAAAAGCCAAAACCAAAACAAATTTCTACATAATCTGAAAAGCGATTTAATAAATTTGCTCAAATGAAACAAAAAAGTTCTTTTCAAAGAATACATTTTTGCCTTATTCTACTTTATTTTTGTTTTATTTCTCGAGTTCTCACCTGGTTAAAATCAGTGTTTGACCACTTTTCCACCTGACTGGCCGCGATTTGTTTGCCCAATCGGCCAGAGCCAATGCGGCTTGCAAGTTTCTATGCCGTCTGCCGAGCCATAAAACTTCCTGCGTAGCCAAAATGCGTTTCGACTTTGGCCGCGCAGCAGACGACAGCGACGCGGCAGAGGCAGCGGCAAAGAAATAGCCGTTGCCCCGCAATAAATAAACTTCATTCATAGGCAAATATGAAAAAAGAAGAAGAAGAGTAGCTGCCAGCGTATCCAAGGTGCGAACGAGCACAAAAGCAGCAAAAAGGTGCAAAAGAAAAAAAAATGCGAAAATAAAGAGAAAAAGTAAAAAAAAAAAAACAAAATAGAAAAATCATTTAACGCATTTTAACAGCGCTCATTACCGCACACAGTCGCAGCCAAACCAAGCCAAATCAAGCCAAGCCAATAAGCAACCCAGCTAAGCCACGCCTCGCCCCGCCCCCTCTCGCCCAGAAGCGCGGCACGTGGACCCATTTAAACTGGTGCAGAGCTGACATTAGCGAGGCGCAAAACGCAAAAAAAAAATGTATTTTGAATTTTATGAATGAAACGCAAACGTTTCGAATTTGAATTCGAATTGCGAATTGGCGACAACTTTTGCGCGTAGCTGTGCTTTGTTGTGAAAAGTATCTGTCAGATACACGGCATGCATGCCCAATGGCTAACCAAATATTTGCAATATGCGAGATACCCTGTTGCCGTATCGACAACGGAATAAGCTCTGTCAGTTGTTGCTGCTAATACCCTGTAAATTGGCAAAGTCATGCATTAATACGTTATGTTGTACGATATATTACAGTTTAATATGGATTATTATGATTTACCTATTTTACTCTCGAATAGCTTGAAAAGCTTGATATTACCAAAAGTTTCTTCGATTAAATGTCGCATGACTCTCTCGCAGATCTGTCTTGTCAGCTATCTTGCTGATATTTATATGGATTGTTCGAACCATAATAAATATATAATTGTAATAGTAAAAATATTTTTGGCAGATAAGTCTAATTGAATTTCCATTGGGTTATCATAGTAAGGTATTAATGCTGGATAACAACTAAGCTTAAGCTATGAGAATTCTAACTTGAATACAAATAACTTGAATACTTTTTCTTTAAATTATATTCAATATTTAAACTGAGCTGGCGGCATTTGTTATAAAACCTATAAATAAGTGTATAAGAGTTGGCATTCCAAGAAAGCTGTCTTAAGTTGACTTTTTTCTGATTATCTTATTAACTGACGTTTGGCCAAAAGACTCAGCCGCTGACATGTCATTAAGGCCGTCAGCTAAGCTCAAAAGCTGGCATTGAATATACTTATCAACAAAATACCCGTGTGTCATCGGGAACTTTCTACACAAGTGGGTTGTATACACATATTGAAAGGTATGTGCAGACCTTGAAGCTTGGCAGAGCATCTGCTAGTCGGGCACACTCGTGCTCCTCAGTCTGCGCGGCTTTAATTAAATTGAAAACGTTGCCTCAGCTCGAATTGTTATCTCAGCTACCAGTTGCAAGAAAAAACACATACACAACAAAATTTTGTACAAATTTCAACGAAAATTTGTTAAATTGCGCGTGCAAAAATATGTTTATAATTAAATGCATAATTAAGTACACACATATATATATATATATATATATACATGTATATGCACAGGTGCAAGCCAGGTGAGCATGAAAATAAATACAATTTTTTGCACAGCCTCAAACGTGGAAACATTAAATAATTAAATTGTTAAATGCATTAAATTCGATTATAATAATAAATTATTATAAATAATAAATTGTT